CATATAATTATTCACAGTGCAGTCAACACTGACAGCATATAATTAATCACAGTGCAGTCAACACTGACACCATATAATTAATCACAGAGCAGTCAACACTGACACCATATATTTAATCACAGAGCAGTCAACATTGACACCATATAATTAAAGACAGAGCAGTCAACACTGACACCATATAATTAAACACAGAACAGTTAACACTGACACCACATAATTAAATAGAAAGTTTTAGTAAAAATACTTAATTAAAAATTCTGATTTTTTGTTTACAACAGAATTTTAAAGTTTACTGAAAGCTTGCAAAATGTGGAGATACAATAAGTACTTTCATAGTTATAGTATGTATACCACCATGATAACATGGTTCTGTAAAATACAGGCGCCTGTCCTCATTGGATTAAGAACTTTAAAATTAACTTTTCACAATTACTTTAACTTAATTTGAATATTTTTATTGCTCTTTGAACTACCTAACTACCCTGACAAGCAGTCAATCATTCGGTGGAAGAGGTTATAAACAAATACATCAGGTTGCATGTCTGTGTACTGTCCTCATATTACTTGAGGTGTAATGACAAAAACATTTTTTTATGTAAAATAATTTTAACTTTTACACTTTAGTTACTTCTGTTAAAAATACATATAACAATAAATAAAAAAATATACATAAATTTAGAGCTCACCTTAGCTCTAAGTCAGTTTTGCACTCAAGTGCTTGCTTTTTGTAAGCCTTGTTTCTGAGGTGTTCATTGATCAGAAAATAATCCACATAGTTTTAAAATACATATTTTAGAAAATCAAAAACAATACTTAACAAATATAGATGACACCACCAAATTAGATTGTACAAAAACCATTGTAATACATCTGGCTTTATAGGTCTACTGTCCAAACATGTTGAGTTTTGTTGGCAAATTAATAAACTTTTACAGTTGAAACAAAACAGATAATATGATTTTTAATGTACTGATTGTTCTTTCTATTGGTTACAAACAAGTCCAACAGCAATACATGAAAGAATAGAGTAAGAAGAGGTTAAAAATTTATAATCTAACTTGCAGGTATCTATAGCACATATTTTGTAAGTTAAGAGGAAAAAATCTTTCAGTTTAAATATTTCCCTTTAAAATTAAAACAAATATAAATTACAAACATTCTGATGCCAAGCTTATCAGCATATATTGATCATAGTCATTTAATTAAACTTTGAATGCAACTCTGTAAAAGGTCATGAATCACTTCTCATCAACATAATCTTCATACTAAAACTTGAAAAAATTTACACTTAATATTTTTATTTTATTTATAACTAGCAAAACTTACATCAGACTCTTCTTCATCTTCAACATCCTCCTCCTCCTCTTCTTTCTTTTTCAGGATGTACAATTTCTTTCCAAATTGTGTCTGACTTTCTCCTTCACCCGGCTTACGCAAGTTGAACTTTGGGACAGAGCGCACCTCTTCCTCTTGTCGTTTCCATTCATCCAATGTCATTTCTTTAGGTCCTTCATCCACAGAAGTTTTACCTTCTTCTCCAGCTACCTCCTCTTCACCTTCCCTAGTGAAGAAATCTTGAATTATACAAGTTTCATGCTCTTATACAAAACACAGTGTGCAAGTTCACATATATAACAGTTTAATAAAAATTGTATGCTTGTCATGCATACACACAAACACATGTGAAATCTTTATAATGTCCAAATAGTTATCACACATTTCTCAAGAAAAAACTTTATACTTTATGTTATTTTCAATAATGAATCTTTGCATGGGTTTGGTTGATTTGATCTATCTAGTAACCACCATAAAAAAATTAGGAAATCAATATAACATGCCTTTTCTGTTCTAGAATGATTACAAATTATAACAAAAACACAAATGTTTAGACTAAATAGATTAAATCTCATAACATTATACATATATATATATACATTCATTATTTTTGTTACATTGACCTTTCAGCTATGTCTGGCTAACAATACAGGTTACAATGACGTGGCACATTAGCACTCATGTTACTGTATCCAATAATATAAAACTGACCTTTAGTCTTTACTAAAATAAGTTTAGTTTTTTTGCATTATGATCTTTAATATCTTGGAAAATTACATTAGGAAATGGTTACGATATTTATATCTGTTCCAGATTCAAACTTATTACTTTTTATGTTTTAGTACATTATTTTAAAATCTCTAAAATTTCTTATCATCAATAAAATGCTAATTTTGTCTATTTTAAATATTTTTAACTCTCCTTATGGTTTCAAGTAATATACAAGGCACAAAAATAATATTTATAAGTAAACCTAAACAATAAAGAAGTATTTTTTTAATTTTTAGCTAGGATTTAATGTTTATATATGTACATAAAAAA